ACAAATAACAAGGACCTCATAATAAATACTTACACTCCCGATCATGATTTACCTCCCAGTTTCCATGTTTCCACCACATATTCGAGTGAGAGGTGCGAAGTAAACACAAGGATTGATTGGCCAAGAGGTGAGTACTCGATGGTATAGCGTCAAAAGACAGTAGGGCAGAAGACTGATGTAAGCGACAGGTTGAAGGCTAAAGTATGAACACAAAAGGTTATGACAAAGAAATAAAGTAGTCAGGTATAGAATAGGATGGAAGCACAAATTGTATTAGTAAAAACCCAAGCCTTTTATACACACGAATAGGATGAGGAATGCGACCTACCAGTTTACCTCCGAAATCCGTGATCGATAAGTTGGGTAGATTGAGGTAAATTTTTGCCAAAAAAGAAGAAGGATTGACCATAGAAGACGCAATCTGGCGCGATGAGGTCAAACCACGCACGAAAGGGTGCATATTTACCGCTATGATGAGCAAGGGTACCACAAAGCATAGGTACCCTTCCACAATCGAAAATTAAGAGATAGAAACAGTCGAGAAAGGTATGAAAGCGATCGGAAAGGATGGGACTTGGTGAAGGTAGAGGTGATCGAGAACGATTGGCAAGATAAAAGCAAAGATAGAGGGTTTTTTTTGTCCAAGTTGACATTAAGGTTGGACAATTCTTCCTAAAGCGGTGATACTCGGTGGTTTGCTCACCGTATAGATTTGCGCTCTCCCGGACAACATTTGCCCGGAGCGTAACCCATACAGGGTGTTTACACGGTGCGGTGGCTCGTATTTTTTCTCACACATTGTGTATACTACCTTTGCTAAAAAGCTTGCCCGGTTCGACCGCGAACAAGAGACAAGAGAGCTCGAATTTGGCCGCAGCCTGCTGCGAGGCCGCTGCGCAGCTCGACAAGAACCCAAGTTTGGCCAATCACCGATTCTGAAAGAGATCAACTTCACCTGTGGATCTCTGACATTGAGATATGTTGAAATCAATCATAAAGCGCAAATATCTCCCTCATCATGATGGAATCATGCTCACAGGTCTATGCGATTTCTATCGCGCTGCGAATGTTATCGAGATTTGTTTTAATTCCATTTTAAGAAAGCGATTCTCGTCGAACGGCTTAACAATGCGTGACTAGCCAACGTGGGTGCTTCTGCCATCTTGGGTTCAAGGCCGAGCAGCCTAAGTTTTTTTGCTAAAATTCCGAAATGAAATCAAGGCTTACATCTTGGACATTTGTCAATCCAATCATCATCCTATGGTGAGCTCTTGACTGAGCAAGAAGAACAAAAGTTTTTTAAAAAAACATGTTGTCCTTGTTGGACTTGTACTTGTTTGTCTCATAGAGCCGAAACAAAAAAGCACAAAAGTTTATCAAGGCTTGAACACACTACTAATGAGGGGTCAAGAGTGTGAAGACAACCATCTAGGCAGACCATTATACCAGGGAGACTATGAAACATCACAGCACTTTTGGTCCTCGATATCATCGAATGAGAGCTGAATTTGACTGTATGGTTGATCTGGACATACCAAGCTCCAGATATGCTGTGAATATAGTCACAATGTGTCTCAAAATGGTTCAAAGTCGGAGATCCATGGGTGAAGTCGATCTCTTTCAGGATTTGTGATCGGCCAAATTTGGGATCTTGACGAGCTGCGCAGCGGCCTCGCAGCAGGCTGCGGCCAAATTTGACCTCTCATGTCTCTTCTTCGCGATCAAACCGGGCAAGCTTTTTAGCAAAGGTAGTATTACATTTGCTAGAAATGTTGTCACCTCTGGCACGTTTGCTTCACAGCTTTGGAATCAAATTTCGTCGCAGCTGCTGCGCGCAGCAGCGGCTGATGACGCAGCCTGCTCAATCTGGAGCTGGCTGTCATCCCGCTGTTCCAGCCCGGCTCCATCCACCAACCCCCCCCATTCGACACCACCGCAATTATCATCCATCAACCCTCCTCAATAAGAAGCACCAATCTTTTCTGCTCTCAAAACACATCCAAACCCAATTTCACAGGAGATCAAATCTTATGGGCAGCAGCACCAACCTTTTCAAAATCGAGTTATTTTCATCCTTCATGCACAGTTGTTTTTCTCACTTCAAAGGGATGCATTTTGGCTTAAAACTTTCTAGACCACTGATTATCAATTGATGTGGGCATTTATGTTGTTGCTGAAAAGTTGTGAATTTAATGGAATTCCAAACAAGATCATGACACACGATTCCCAAATGAGTTTCCTTCCAACATATACGGGAAGAGTCCATGTGAGGATAATTGAACAATATCCAACTACTTCTAATGAGACTTGGTGGAATGTTCTTCGAAGAAAAATGACAACCAAAATGAGTGTAAAGAAAAGGCAAAGAGAAATTTTGAACTCAAGTCATCAATTCCTGTTGGCCGCTTCATCACATAAGACCACATTCATTGTTTCATCCTTATCAAATTTCTCTCTTGTTCATTTCTTACCGATCACTCGCGAGCCAACATTTGGATTACATTCAGCCACATCCTAGCTCACTCATCCTCTATCTGTCAAATTTGGAAGCATTACATTCTTGGAATGAAGGTATCGAATTGGACATGTCTTGTTGAGAGAAATCAAGCAAGCGTTAACCAGAAGGTGAATGTTCTGTACAAGGTATTTGTGCCTAAATGAAGGTTTCAAATTGAATGATTGAAAAGTGAAAGTGATAACTCAGGATCGAGTAAAATAGATAGTAAATCTTGCAGAAAAAGGGGAAGTAAGAATGTGATTTGAGGATGTAGCTGGATCTGAATTCTTGATCAAGATGGTATTGACATTCGTTATCGAAGAGGGTTGATGGATGATAATCGCGGTGGTGTCGAATGGGGGGGGTTGGTGGATGGAGCCGGGCTGGAACAGCGGGATGACAGCCAGCTCCAGATTGAGCAGGCCGCGTCATCAGCCGCTGCTGCGCGCAGCAGCTGCGACGAAATTTGATTCCAAAGCTGTGAAGCAAACGTGCCAGAGGTGACAACATTTCTAGCAAATGTAATACCGTCTTTCCTGAAATGCTTGTCCAACAAGCGTTTCAGACTTAAAGGTCTGTTTGTAAATCGAGAAGAAGATCACGCTGATCTCAAGTAAGCCAGGTCAATCTTGACCTGGCTAAGGCCCGAACCCGAGTCCCTTCCCGTTCCACTTCGAGAACCAGGCCCGGTCTAAGAAACTGGACCTGGGATCGGAAGAGGAAACGAGTTCCTTCGTTTTTCATCTTGGCTATCCGGTAAGCAGTTTCCATGATCATCCATTCTCATCCAACCATTCTGATTAAATCTTTCTTCAACAATTTCTGTTTTATTACCTTGTCCTATTTCATCCTGTTGCTTGCTCTTCAAAGGTCAAAGTTCTCATATCGGTTGATCTCAATGCCGTACGTAAAATATGACCCCGCCATCAAGGTCGCAGCAGTTCACATGCTGATCGATGGATTGACCGACGACGAGGTACGGAACGCTTTACACGAACCAATACACTCGAAGTCATTTCGGAGATGGACTGAACTATACCACGAAACTCACGCGGTTATTCGGGATCCTCACCTCTACAAGCGCCGTGGACGACCTCGTTCATACGGACCTGCTGACCGCGATTTCATTGAGGAGCTGGTCCGTACCGATGCGAGTCTATTTCTAGACGAGATCCGTGATCAGGTGTACGACGAAAGAGGCGTGTGGGTGTCAATCTCAACTTTGCAAGTTGAGCTCCATCATCGGCTACAACTCACGCTCAAGAAGGCCAATGTGCGGCATTGCAAACGGTCTGGGTATGCCCGACAAAAATTTCTTGACGAGCTGAGCCAGTTCCCAGCCAAATATTTGGTCTTCACTGGTAAGACTATTGTGGCTTGTAAAAGTACTCGAATCATGATATATGTACTGACTTGTAACTTGGTATGAATTGCAGATGAGAGTGCAATATGCGAGCGAGACCTTTTAAGGTTCAATGCTCGTTCTCCCAAGGGTGAACCATCCTATCGAACTGTCCGTAACATGTCGGCAAAGCGATATTCGCTCCTACCAGCAATTGGAGTTAAGGGAGTTCTGGCGGTTAAAGTTAAGGAGGGGAGCATAAAGCGTTTAGATTTTGAAAAGTTTTTAAAATACAGATTAGTCAGTAATCTTGCTCAATCAGAACTGTACACAAAATGATTCTTGACCTTGATTTGTGTTTGATGAAATTCAGCTTCCTCGCATGCAGCCTTATCCTGCTCCTAATAGCGTTTTAATTCTGGATAACGCTCAAATTCACAAGGGGGGGCGGATTGCAAAGCTGTGTCGTGATGCAGGTAGGTCACAATTCTCTTCATGTTGTAGTTCATAGATGTTAGAAAGGAATGATAGACCATACCTTCTACTTTCAGGTATCATGTTGAGATATTTACCGCCTTATTGTCCTGATCTCAACCCAATCAAAACTGCTTTCAGCGTCTTGAAGACTTCCTTTCGCCGGACTCAATCATTGCAGAACGTGTACGATATAAGGACTGAGTTAGTTGATCGCACTTGCGATATTTTTGTTTATGAATTATTGAAAAAATTATACTCTTACTCTGGTTACGAAGAGGTGGGCTTGTAACAACATTTATGTATCGTTTTATCTCAATTGACTCTACACTTCAACGTGTACAGTCAATCTACATTATTCAAGCGCACCACTTTATCTACAAGCAATATCAACATATGTTTTACAATATCAATGAGTAATTTATGGCATATGATCAGTTTTCATTTCGAATTGGGACATCATCAAGAGTGAATATAAAGTGAACATTTCTTGATTGTAAGTCAGATACGAATAAGATAAGTTGTACAATTCTTGAGCGAATAAGTAAGATATATGGTTCTTTGATAATGAAAGAGTATACAAGTATCAAATCGGTAAGTAAGATCATGAAATGTTGAATAATGAACAAGTTTACAAAGTATTCAATACGGTTTATACCCTTTCAGATCGGGCATAGATTGACTACTTTAATTGGTACGAGCCTGAATCATCTTCTCCTCGAGCCATTGTTTGCGCTCTTCAACAGGTAATGCATGGTATTTTTCTGCATTTGATGATTCTCGTAGTACTTTATTAGCAACCATGTGATTGGCTGGAGTGAAAAGCCAAGTGGGCCCATTGTTTTGAACATCGGCAAGGGCTCCCTTCAGAAAGAAGAAGTGCTTGTGCGCCTCGGCTTGTTGTTCGGAACGCCAGACTTTCATGTTGGCCTGGGTCCATCTGTCTAAGTCTTTACGTTCGTTTTGGTCCTCTTGCTTCCATCGAAGTCGCTTGCTGGCCGTGGAGTTCTTGCGATTGCGATTCAACGTAAGGAATAAGTATATATCCGGGTCAGGAAGTTCATCTGAATTTCAATACCAGAAACAGCAAAGTAGTCAATAAATGATACAACAATGAATGATCTTTTTGAAACATCAACTATACCTAAGTCCTTATAGAACCGAGGATATCTCTTGGGATGCACCCAAGGAATCACTCCACCTCGAAAAGGCTTACGTCGATTCTTACGGGGTCCAGCTGCAAAGGACAGCTTGGGTTGATGATAAATTTTGATTCCGAGCTTAGCAGTTCTTTGGGGTTGCTTGCGAGACAATGTCATTTTTCATGTCGGAAGAGGTTACGTGGAGGAAGCGACCAACTCACTGCTGGTTGAATCACTATAAAAATGGTGTTCAACCTTGTTGAGCACCATCTAACAAGCTTGTGGTTCATCTCAACTCGAGCGTTTCCATTTCGATAACCTCTCTGTTTTTTCTGTTCAAGATCTTGAATCTCAATTTTGCAAGGCATTCATTCGACACGAAATGAAATCGATTGGAAGGCACATAAACCGTTGATATTATCATTTGCGTGGTTAATTATAATCTCAAGTACAACATCAGAGTACTCAACTAAAAAGCCAAATAATGTAAAGTTGGAAGCGAAATAATGTAAAGTTGTATGAAACTGACAAAAAAAAGAAATACAAACATACAACATGCGAATTTGATAAGTCATTTTTCTTGCTCCTCATTCAGTACCTTAGCAAATCTGTTGACATTTTTGTACAACCGAGTTATATCACCGGGTCTAAGATTGAGCTTTACCAAATCATCACGAGGCAGATACGTTTGGTCAAAAAGATCATATTGATCAAAGCCTGCTTCAGTCAAACGCGCCTCAACTGATCCATCGAGATCCACAATTTCACAAAAGTTTAGATACCTGGCGAGTGGAGCCTTCAATACAGCTCCACTCGTTGCTTCAGCTACACCAGTGTGTGGCTGTTGGATTGAAGTCACCAATTGAGCCATCAAGTTGCCAAAGTCCTGGTTAGTAGAGACCCCGCTACCCTTGGTACGCTTCATCATTTCTGCTGATCTGCTCAGCCACTTTATACCACCTGCCTTTGGTGGTATGTCAAGAGTTACAACTTTTGAACCCTTGGCATCACAATCAAGCTGATTTGCACATTAGTTAGGTGATACTCGTAATCCAGTTCAATGAAAGCATGACACACCTTTGCTCTGGCCCAAATTCTCGACATTCCTGCTGTGATATAAAAGAATTTGTTTGTGTCCTGTGGGTCAACATAGACTGGTGTTGAACGATCGTAATCGGCTTTGATTGGGTGTTTTTTGTAAATCTCATCGGCTACAATCTTCAGAACGTCGGTATCGGTGTCGCCTCCAGTACTTTCTCCGGACTACATGTTCAAATCCAAATTGGATTTGTTCAATCTCAGCAAACAGTAAAATCAAACCATACGTTCATACCTCAGTTTGATGGTCATTGGTCTGTTCCGCGTCTTTGTCTAGCGCCATTTCTTCTGGAGTCAGATGTTGTTTGTTATTTTTCTTTGCTTGATTTGCAACATGGCGAGTTTGGCGACGTTTGATCTTGGTTGCTTGAATCAAAAGAGATTCTTCCTTCAAACACAAAACAAAACAAAATGAAATCAATAATCTGTAATGAAACACTCATCGATAAGACTCTACATACTTGCTTTCTTTTTTTTTGCACCGACACCGGGTTTTGCATCACTAAATTGACACCACACACTTTGTCTCGGGATGCATCACATGAAGAAATCCATTGTAGCCATTCCAGATCGCTTGTGATGACCACTACTCGGTCTCCAGTCATTGGGTATGATCGGGTCCCGGAGATGTAAGCATACCATTTCAACTCGGGCAAGTCGGCCGTCGCATCCTCGGCTGCTCTCAGCAGAGTGGCTGCATTAGCGTGAGATATGGCGATTTCGGCTAAGATTTTCCTTTTGCAAAGTTCAAATGACATTGCCGGATTGATGTCAATTCGAACAGGTATCTTGCTGTCCGGCTTGGTAGATTCGTAAGACTGGTGCCCCACATTTTTACCCTCTTGGGTCTTTGGAAACCAGACGACGTAACTGATAAAGGCATTGATGGTATTGGCCTAGATGGTATACAGATAAAATAGAGTATATCAGCAATGTATATACTGCACAATACTGTCCGTGAGTGGACTTAACTTGTTCAACCACCTCCGAAGTCGAATTTGTGTTAACAGAGTCCATTACTAATTTCAACAACAAGTTGGTAGGTGATTCAAGAAGCAAGAATCAATTTGAATAAAGGAAGATAGATATGGGGAAGTTGAAGAGTCAAACCAATGTGGAACTGAAAGGGGGTTGTTAATCCACGGTAACGCCAAGATGAAAAACAAAGGAACTCGTTTCCTCTTCCGATACCAGGTCCAGTTTCTTAGACCGGGCCTGGTTCTCGAAGTGGAACGGGAAGGGACTCGGGTTCGGGCCTTAGCCAGGTCAAGATTGACCTGGCTTACTTGAGATCAGCGTGATCTTCTTCTCGATTTACAAACAGACCTTTAAGTCTGAAACGCTTGTTGGACAAGCATTCATGGAAAGACGGTAATATCACATGTATTTTTAGTTTTACACGGACGGGTGGCGATGCTCTTACGGAGCATACGATGAACTTCCCCTTCGAGATTATCGCCCGAATCTTGCAAGAATTTGTCAATGACTTAGATAAAGAAATTGATTTTCCTGATTCAACTGCTACAGAAATTTACCTCAAAAACTCATCGTACAGACAATTAAGCGAATTACGATTGATCTCTCAAGCTTGGTCAAAGGCTGTTATACCTTTTTATTTCGAAACAGTATCTATAAACAGTTCAAGACGCGCACAATTAATTCTGGATAACTGGAACGATGATATATTTAGTCCACGTGGTTCTTGCCCTGTTCGAAGACTGGCAGTTGAAAATATTTGGTACCGGAAAAGAAAAGATGGAATAAAAGACAAAGGTAGCTGCATTTTTTCACAAAAAGATGTTGATTTCAGCTGAGATCCTTTGGTATGAGTTTTTTGAAGCACTAACTATAACTTGTTTCAAATGCGCGTTCAGTTCCAAAAGCATCATTGTCAATTTCAATGGATCAACTATCAAGATTAATCAGATTGCTTGGGACGAATTTGAAGACTTTGAATATTTCTTTTTTTAATTGCATGGGAATATCACCTGATTTGATCCCAGCCATTAAAACTATCAAAGATTTGAAATCTTTAAGCATTTCATTCGATTGTGATGGGGCAAGTTATGGGACTTACGATTTCAACACACTATCAGGTTTATTTTCAGCGATTCCCAATCTTGAATATTTATCAACTCATCATGATCAAATGGATACTTTCACATTATACCCCCCGGCTTTATCAAATCTACGTTACTTTTCTATGCAATCTGATGAAGAAAACTTGGAAGGAAATTGTCATATCACTCAAACTGCGAAAAATACTTTAAAAATGATTGAACTCTCTCGTGGTTATATTGTACCTATCAAAGGTTTAAAACAGGTTTTAGAGCCAATTAAAGATACCTTAGAAGGTCTCTTCACACTCGTATTCACTATTCAGGTCACCAAACAAGTCTCAAACATGAACTTCCCAAAGTTGAGAGTCATCAAAACTCAGCCAGTAGATTCTCGTATACCAGAAGTCAATTGGTTAAAAGCTCCGATGTTAAAGAATGTTAGGACTGTTATAACAAATCTAGAAAATCAAGATTATTGGCACAACGCTTTAGAAGGTCCTGGCCGGGATGCTTTGAAGAAAGTACCAAATTTCAAACATCTTGTCTTCACTAATAATGCACACACTGAAACTCAAGCTCTTGATCCTCAATTGGTCAGATTGTTTGAATTTCATGGAGTTCAATGCCATTTTACTGATCAAGGGTTATCAGCAGATGAAATCATGGTATGTTCCAATATCTCCATTTTGACGGTAAAAGACTTTAAAGATTTTATACTGATTGCTTCATTTGATAACCAGACCTTAGATTGTGAACTCAATGGACCAGTGATTTAACTCCTTAATTCCTCTCATCAAAACTTCTCATGACGAAATCTCTTCACTTTCTTGTACAATTTATTGCAATTTTAGACTTCTTGGATAGATAAAATAAATGTAATAATATCGTTCAAACATATAATCAGAAATTATTTTTCTGGGAACCTTACCCAATATGAATTTCAATTGGACGTAATGAAAAATGCATTGAAGGAAACATGATTTCCTTGTAATGAAATTGTAAGGTGGCGCTTTCAGATTCCACCTATTCAAAGAAAATGCCAGCTGGGTCGGCCTTGTGAGTCCAATCTCCTTGTTGTATACTCCCATTGAATACGGGTTTCATTGACTTGAAGATGTGATTCAACATACGGAGGGCTACGGAAGGGTTTTCAAGAAAAGAACGTGCCGCGTCGTGCGCGCGCTGCCGAGGAAGCAAAGCATCAGGGCGCGCCAGTTTAATCGCGCCTGCACCCTGACTTCAGAGATCAGACAAAAGCTCAGCTTGTTGTTTGTAGAATTCTCTCACTTCATAGACCAACGATATCGTATCAGTTATATTATTTCAGTCTATCGCGATTCAATTTCCTACAAATCAAACTAGCGAGGTTTTCGCCCATAACCAGATCGATTATCGAGTAATTCAATTCGAAAAACAATCAACCTGAAACAGTTTGCGACCTCGGGACTCTTACCGGTTTCTAAGTTGATCAAAGGAGTATCCCGTTTTGAAGAACTTTCGAGTCATCTCTCAAGAAACATCAAAGACGTCTTGTTCAGAGACTGGACAGCATTCAAAACAGCATGGAACATACGATGAATGAAGTCAATAGGTTGCCATTCGAGATCGTCAATCAAATCCTGCAAGAATTTGTACATGAATTGCCGAAGGAACCGTCACTAGCTGGGCCCCCTCCTTTACCTGCCCTGACAAGCGAGGCATACAAAGAATTGATTGCATTAAGACTAATTTCTAAAACGTGGTCTAAAGCTGTTATACCATTTTATTTCAGAACAATCTCTATACAGAACTCGAAGCGTGCAAAAGTGATTCTAGATAATTGGAGTGACAGTTTATTTAGACCCAATTTTTCTTGTCCTGTCAAAAGACTTAGTGTCACAAGAGTTTGCTGTTTGGAAGAAGAAGCCTGTATATTGGAGAAACATTGTAACTCGGGTTTTCATTTCACTATCTTGCAACACTTATTCAAAGTACTGACCAACATTTTCTGTACTTCTACTCTTAGGTCCAGAAGGATCAACTTGCGTGTCAATTAACCAATTGGAAAGATCAATCACATTGCTTGGGACAAACTTGAAGGCTTTAGATGTCAACTTCATAGATTGCAAGACAATTTCGCCTAATTTAATCAAAGCTATCAAAACTATAAATGAGCTAAAATCATTATCCTTGTTCATCACCTGTTGGAAATTGGACCGGGGATCTTTCGATCTAGACTCGTTATCCAATTTCTTTTCAGCAATGCCTAAACTTGAATACTTGAAACTTTTTGATGATGCACCAAATTTTGATTTCAAACCTCCGGCTTTATCAAATTTACGTTACTTTTATTTTACAGCTCATAGGGCAAACATCCAAGGAAATTCTCAAGTCACTCGTGCGGCAAAAGATACTCTCAGAATCATGGAACTTTGTTATTCCAATTGCCGTGGTCTTGTTCAATTAGCACAAATCTTCGAGCCTGTCAAAGATACATTAGAGGGTTTCTTCACAAGTGCATTTAATGAGGATGTACCTCGAGATGTTGAAAACTTAACTTTTCCAAACTTGAAAGTACTGGAAACACAATTCTTTACAGCTCATCCCAAGTCAGGATTCACCTGGTTAGAAGGTCCGATGTTGAAAAATGTTAGAACAATCTTTACAAGATTGCGTGTTGAACATTGTTGGCAAGAATCTTTGGAATTAGGTGGTGTGAATGCTTTGAAGAATTTGCCTAATTTCAAGCATCTTGTCTTTATTAAAAACCGTGGTGAGACCAAAGCTAACAATCCTGACTTGATTGAAGCCTTCAAATCTCATGGGGTTGAGTGTCATGTCACCGATCCATTATCGCCAGATGGAATGATGGTTAGTTCAAATTTTCATCACGCATCACTTTGATGTAATTGTTTTTCAAAGATTTCATACTGATATCTTCACTTGATGATCAGGAACTAGATCGCTTGCTTAATGGCCCAATCAACTAAAACACACGTTTCGATTATCAAGATTCCTCCAAAGCAAACTTCTCAACTACCTTTTGTATCATTTTTGATACATATAAGCGTCATAAATGTGTATACACAATAAATGCAACTTTTATATGAAGCCCATGCAAGATTTACAATGAAGTCCATTGGAATATCGGCGAATTTCTCTTCTTCAACAATATCTTAAGGCAAAATTGAAATCAATCAGGTTGTTGATCACCTATCGGATTGAAGCCATGCTGGAGTCCAAAGAGATTTTATAACAATGCAATGTGACAAATTCTTGTTATTGGGACTGAGGATGACAAGTTGCAGTCACACAGCAGCTCTTGTCACTGCCAGCATTAGTTCAAAGCAATCATTGCAAAAGTCAGAATTTCAATGGATTAAAACGTTGAATAAATTCCAAAATGACATGTTGTAAAGGTTTTGTTGCAGTCAATGAACAGAATGAAAATCTACTTAGGGAATCAAAGACACTTTTTGGTACAGTTTTTGATTGAAAGTCATATGTAGTAGATGCTTATAGCTACTCAGTTATGATATTCAACAGCTCAGTGAGTACAAACTGCTTTTGAAAGAGATTAGTGTAGGAAAATTGCAGGATAAAGCTGTGCATTGAATGCACCCCCATAATTAAAAGTGGAGATGGAATGCTGTAAAGTTTCCGTTGCAGTTGATGCGCAGACTGACAATTTAGTCTGAATATTGTGTTGCACTTGACATGCATGGAAAAATTTGGATTGATGGAGACTGTCAGATAAGTCAAGCTTTTGATTCAAAAGAGAGGTAGATGCTTTTCAAAATGTAAATGTGGTCCTTCTAAACAATCCTGTGGGGTAAGCCTGGTGAGAGTCAATGCTTAGAGTGTAACATGATTGATGACAGCCTTTTACTCAGTGGAGCTTTTGATCTACATTGCAAATGGCCAACGATGAATTGACACATTTTTGAAAAGCTGGTTTGTGGTTGAACTTGCACGGTATGATGTCCAATGGTTTCTGGTAAGGTGAAGGATTGGAGAAGCTGCTTGCAATTTAATTCCTGAATCAATGAGAGGGAACCTTATATAGGTGTCTTTCTCTACAAAGTTCAAATAAGGAAATAATGATAAAGTACAACTATGTGAAGTCAAAGACATCACATTTACAATTAAGGTGGACAGATCTGATACATCTGAATCCGGAATACAATACACTTGGACAAATCCAATGAGGATTTGTCAAGAAAAATTAAAGGAAAGACATTTGAAAAGCACAGAAATGTAAAAGGAAAATACGCTGGAAAGCATCAAGAAAAAATAAGAAGATAAAAAAGGAAAGATAGGAATTTAGGTTATCACATTGGGTAGGATTAGACAAAGCTTTTTGAGAAAGTTTACAATCATTCAAAAATCAGGGGAGAGGCTGATGAAAATTCTGGAGTCTTTTCAAAATTACATTTCAAAAGACCAAAGACTAACCATTCATCCAAGTTGAATTGTTATTGGAAACTTTTGTGACACTTGATGTGCACGGAGAAATTGCAATTGATGAGGAGTCGGACCTTGAGGTAAGGACTGCTTTTGATTCAAAATCAAGTAAAATTGTTTGCAAGAGTTCAATGTGGTTCTTCTTGGCAGTCCAGTGGAGTAATTTTGGTGGTAGTCAATGCTCACAGTGAAACTTGTTTGATGCAACATTTTTGGTCAGTAAAGCTTTTTCAGGAAAGCTTTCAAAGCTTATAATTAAAATTTGGGAGAAATGCCTTCAAAGATTTAGTGGGACTTTATGAAATTAACTACTTGTGGTTGGTAACTTGTTATTAACAAAGGGGAACGGGATAATTCAGACTTTACAACATGTAACTTTTATACTGATGCCATCAGATATCTTACAGGTTATTTTGATTTTGGACAAATGATGTCATCCAGTTTACCATCCAGTTTACCTTTGTCCAACATTATCCCATTGAGTTCACTATTGTCAGAAAAGTCAACACTTTTCTAGTTTTTTCTCTTTAGCCCACCCTCCACTTCCCTTAGGTATTCTTTTGTTGTTATATTTCTCATCTAAGATTTAAGATTCAGAGTATCATTTGATTTATTCTTCCTCAGAAAAAAAAATGGGAGTGAAGTTTTTATTATTATTATGGTTTCTATATACATTTATTATTGGACCCCACTCTTTATCGCCCGGTTAGAAAAACCCGTCGCCCCCTTACGGATAATTTCGGGTCGGACCTCGGGCGAAACCTACAATATAGCCCAGTTTCTCCAGGAAGCGGGCAACGTCGGTGATGGCACAATTTTTGTCTTACACGACTGGCCAAAAGGCTGGTAATTTGGAGTCATGCACACATTGCAGAGGAGGCAAGAGCTGCATATCATAATGGTGATACATTAACCAAAAGTGCATAGAAGGCATACAATAGTTGAACAAGACAGCACGTGTACAACAACATAGTCATAGTGAGCATAAGTTCAAAAGAGAACAACACAGGGTCATAGATACAGAAATAATGTAAGATAGCGTGTATGACCACACAGTGAGCATAAGTGTAAAGAGAAAGAACCCAGTATCTGTTACGGCTATGGCTGGCCAGGCATCATGGATGGCAAGGCGCACAGCCTACCTAACCTTCTTTCGGATTAGACTAGTTGGAATATGGAGGAATGTTTAGGAATGGACCGGTTATTGTTTCACTATTATGTCATTGATTGTAACACCACGCGCAACTTGTTTCAGATATAAACTGTGTTCTATCTCATGTGTTTTAGCTTTTCCTTCGTCACATTTCTCTATTGTTTCGGTAGTCCTAAACTGACACTAGTCATTCTAGGTAGAACCTTTTTCCTTTTTCTCTCTATATGAAAGGTCACATTTCTCTATTGTTTTGGTATTCCTAAACTGACACTAGTCATTCTAGTTCCCTTTCCGTCTTTGCCGCTCTACAGGTTATGAGCTACACGTTACCAGACGGCATAGAAGACAAATCTTTTGAAACAGCAAATTCCAAATCAACGATCAATCACGATACTACCTCGCGAATTGAAGAACTCGTTGAAACAGACATCACTGACCAACCACCATCCACCATGGAAGGTGTTCAATCTACAGCACCCGGTGCTGGGAATGACCAATTGATTAATCAAAACGCTCCTCCTTCGAATTATGACCAAACTCTTAACGTTCAGAACAATCAACAGAACGTGAATCAACAATCTAACGTTTCGAATGTCACGGACATCTTTCAAACTGCTCCTGTGGTATCGAATGATACGTCCTTTGCCTCATTATGGAAGCTTTGTCCTATCAAACTGGATCAATTAGCAACTTTGGCACCCGATGGATCAAACTTCGATATTTGGGATGCGGATTTCAGACGACTCCTCCAACACTTTCCAGGATGTGCTCCCTATTTACAACCAGGAATTATGCCAACTCAATTCGGATGGGTTCAAGACTTTGCAGAAGGTGTTATTTCGCTTATGCACTGGACAATCGATAAACAATTAAGCTTATGTTTGAATCAAGTTTCTAATGTGCCATCTGAGCGATACGGTTACCTCAAGGCACAATTCTCTGGCCAGACCTATGCCAGTCGCATTGCCTTACACGCTCAATTACACAACACGAAATACGATCCTACGTCTGAAACTATCGATGGACACATCGCGAAAGTATCTGGAATAAGGAGAAAACTTGAAAGATCTGGAATGCTCACAAACAATGATGATTTTGCTGCCATCCTGGCAAACAGCATGCCTACTGGATTTCCGGATGTCACTCACACTTTCGAACCGATCCTCAGAGCGAACCCTCAAGCTAACATCACTTCATCCAACATGACTTGGGCCCTAGGGGCTGCTGATGTTTCATTCAAAAGAGGAGCTATCGGTGTGGCAGAAGGAATGATGACAGTTGTTAAGAAGAAACCTGAACAGACAAGAGTTAGATGTCACTATTGCAAGAAGAGAGGACACAAAGAAGATGTGTGTCGAACTAAGAAAGAGAAGGAGTGATCATCATCGGCTGCTTCAACATCAGATACTCGCATTGTGGAACCACAATTCGCCAATATCGATTTTACTGGGTGCGTGGACATCAGGCACATCATAGTTTCACAACTGGATACTGACATCGACCCCTCAATCATCATCTTCGATACTGGCGCAACTCATCATGTATTTAACAACCGTTCTCATTTCATTACAATACGCGATATTACACCTTTACCAGTTAAAATGGCGAATAACTCATCTTCCTCTTTTATTACTGCTGTTGGTACTGTCCGTATATGCAATGTAGCAAACTCCAAGGAGTTTTTGAACGTTAATAATGTATACTTTTGTGAGAGTCTGCGCCATAATCTCCTGTCTGGAATTCAACTAGAAGAAGAAGGAATTACGTTTTGAAACTCAAAAGATGGAATTGACCTCTGGAGAAACAACTCAAGAGTAATCACTGCGCAGCGGTTAGGAAGGAAGTGGGTATTGAAATCTGTTCCTCCATCCATTACAACAGCTGCTGTGACAGGTGACTTCATGCTTTGGCATCGTCGTTTGGGTCATCCTAATGACCGAACCCTCCTCAAGCTAATTCGCGATCAATCATGTGTTGGACTTCCGGAAAAACTGACAAAAACTACTGTTTGTGAAGACTGTGCAGTGGCTAATTAATCTACGAAAACATCCACAATTGGGCCTTCACTTATCTCTTACGACACACCGTTACAGTTAGTTGTGGCCGATTTATGCGGGCCTTTCCCGGTTAAAACAATTTCCGGCTCCAAATATTCTCTTGAAATCAGAGATGTTTATTCGACTTTCATGCGAACATACTTACTGAAATCAAAGATTGAAGCCACACAACACATCAAAATTTTTATCGCAGAAGCAGAGCGACGTACAGGTAGGAAAGTCATCCACTGGCGTACTGATGGGGGGGGGGAATTTGTGAATAATTCCCTGAAATCGTTTTTCGCTGAAAAAGGAATAGCAGTACAGACTTCACTTC